GGTTGTGGCATGCCTCGTGCCTAGAGTTTTCACAATCGTTGTTGTGAGCCTGTCATTTCCCGGAGTAGTTCGTTTCGCCAACTTTGCAATTACCCTTTCAAGTTCCGAGCTGGAAAATTCTACGTCATTTTCCCCAGTTGTTTCATTCTCAAGAGAGTGCAGTGTATTGTTCTGGTATGGCGTGTAGGAGGTTGGGTCGTCATCTGGGAAGTGATAGGCTAAAAGTTATTTGATAGAACTTTCCAACGTTTGAGTTTGTGTCCCATCCGGACAATTTATTGGCTGTATTATTATTGCTGTTTTTACTTTTTTAAGTGCTAGTTTGTAGGGTAGACTGAAGATATCTTGCTGAGTCACTTCTGTGCAGAACTTCTGCCAAGAAGATTCTTTAGCTTCAGAGATATGGTTCTTGTATTCTGCCAGGGCTAGTTGATATCTTGCCTTCTGAATTGTTTTAGTGTTATTACGGGTTCTTTGATACCTTTTTCGCATTGCTATAACTTTCTTCCGTTCTATTTCCAGTTCTGTGTTCCACCATTTTATGCTCTCCTTATTTTTAGTAGCTGGTATGGACAGTTTATCAATCCAATCACTAAGTTTTTTGTATAATCGTTGTATGATATTGGCCAGTTGCTTTACTGAGTCAATCTCCATATGCTTTAGTGAGTTAATCCATTGGTCATGGGAAATAAGATCTATTAACTTGATCTCCTTTTTCGCCGTTAACCTCTTTTCCGCTTGTGGCTGGGCTGTAAAGCAGGAAATTAAGATATTCGCGACTCCAGCAAAACGGACGCCGCCAAGCGGGAAAACCGGGAACCAGCCGGTCCAGGTCGCTCCGCGCCCCTCCGCGTCTCTGGTGGCTTTCGCGGAGACGTGTTGTCGGCGCGGTGGCGAACAATGTAATTTGACGAAGGTCCGAATATTTCTTAAGTTTGCCTGATTGATCATTAGTGTGGTGAAGCCTTAGTAGATTGTTTTCTTCTATTACGTGTTTGAAAGCCCGTTTACTCCACACCACACGGTCGCGTGCTTTCGATTTCTTGGATGGGGAGGAATCACGGAAAAACGTTTTGATTTCTTGTCTTTCTCGAATCACATTCAAAGTGACGACTGCTTGGTAACTGATACTGGAGGGAACATCAACGTTGCAGTCAAGCGAATGGGAAGGTCCGATAGCTGCTTTTGTTGAGTTTGGTTGTGTTCGGTTAGCTTCAAGTTTCAACCACCCACGCCGGTCGGTGCGTTGGCTATTCATCTTGGCTGCTTTTCGCCGAAAAAGCCTCTGGACCACACTGAAGGAGTTGGGCTGACTTCGCAATTACTTGATTCAGGAAAACTTGCTCGCTGCAAATGATGAATGAGGGAAATTATCTGTTTTCAAAAGGTGGGAGACAAGTCTCGCAACGTTAGATGCTGTCACGGCATTTTGACCTATCGCGCCTCCAATATTCATATTACGAGGACGTCGAAGCCAGCAGCAATATACGTCTACATTGGTAAGGTTGACCGGCCACAAAAAAATACTAATTTTCTCCGTTCAGGATTCGAAGCAAAGTTCCATGCAGAGAGGTTCTGCGCGGATCTTCAATGAAGACTCTCTTCAGTTTGTCTCCGTGCTGCCGGCTATAGAACCATTTGGCTAAGTTTAAGTAGTATGCCTCCGTCTGTCAAATATACTTTTATCCAGCAGCTCACCTAACAGCTAGTCAACTAAGCTCATATTTCAACCCGAAGGATATACTAATATCGCTTTAATGGGACATAGTACATAATATAATACATAACCCGCTCGTCAAAATGACTTCTCGATTGCCACTAAAACCTGAATTTAAATACGAGTATCAGCTGCTTAGTGGGGCGCCGGCGGGTTAACATGGTCCTTGGCTCAAGAAGGGGTTGCTTAATTTTCGTAATTATCCTGCAGCCTGTGTTGTTGGCCGGGCAGACGACCGGAGCTGTTTCGTAAACGCGGATACGCACAAAAGCTCGATTTCGCGGACAGATAAGTCGCATGGTCGAGGCATGCGAGTTAGCTGAAAAGTTATTCTCTGTGGAACAATTCTATAGTCATCGCCGCTTTCCTTAGATGATCGAAACTGATTAGTATATTACCGTCTCTCCGGAGCCCATAGTTTCGGTTTTGAACGAAATCTCCGAAACGAAAGTTTGACACGAAACGAACAAAAAAACACCGGCAAAACAAAACTATGCTTTGCAAGTTTATCTGCACCGGCTACACTTAACCGTCTCAGTTCAAATACCTATAAAATTGGGCATTAAACAAAAGAAAATCTGTTAAATTGAACGCGCCACCTGTTCAGGCGGCCCGGCCGAGCCGCCGCGACCTGGACTCAGCCGCCATGTTTGTTTGGTGGTGGCGCCCCCTATAGGTCGCTGGAGTCGCGAATATCGGTGACCGCTCTCACTGTGTATATTTAGGATTGTCCATTCTGTGAACTCTCGGTAAAAGTCATGATTTGCCAGTGACAAATCTATAAAACTTCCACTTTTATCGTTTCTGGTGCGAGTTGGCACTTTCCACTTTTATCGTTTCTGGTGCGAGTTGGCACTGCCTTTTTGCAGTGCAAGCACGCTCCCCTACAAAATATATGGGGTCGACAATATGGAAAGCGAGAAGCCCTGTGTCTAAGCTAGAGATCGAGGTACACGTTCGGAATCAAGAAGCCTGGACCAGTTCACATATAGACACTTGCCGCCATGCGCCATCGTTGTCTCGTTAGCATACAGATGAGAGGGGCTCACACATAATCATTGTTCCTCTCCATGCGAACAAGCTCATGCATACGTGCGTGTCCGTGCCGCACGTGCGTGCTTGCGCTTAAGCCGAAACAATGGACTGTGCGGGCTCTGCCGTTACCGACCCGCTAGAGCGCGCCAAATTAGGGCCTCCATGCCGACATCTTTTCTTGGCAAGATTAGGCCGTCATACCATGATGTCCAGCCAATGAATCGGGTACAGACGAGTTTATAAAAATATCAGCGTCCGAGAGGACTCTGTGGCGTCTCAAAAGAGCCTACCCAATGATCTCAGTGAGGAAGTGAAGCGAATGAAACACGTAGAATGCAAGAAATGAAGGCCAGTTATGGCAGCAATGCACAATTCCGTAGAAGCGCCTATACCTATCAATGAATAACGATGTAATTTAAAAGCTTGATTGGTAGTGATACTCATGAACGGCGCACATCAAACTGAAAGCGAGAAATCATACCTCCAAAACGGACGACCTGGGCGGCGTACAGCGTCGATGTCCCCGTTACTTTGCTCGACTTTTCATCGGGCCAGACCACCTTTACCCAATTTTTTATTGCGACGGATCGTTATACCGTGGCCATCGTCTCGCGTTGTGCTCACAAGGGTCGTACCCCTGGATAAGATTAACGGACGCCACCGCCAATGAACCGTCGTCGAAGCTGTACAAGGCCAACGTGTCCATGGCGGCGAATCGGTTCAACTGGTTCAACGTACGCGGTACGCGCGCAACCGCCACAACGCAGAAGAGAACAAAGCGCGAAAAATTCTTACATCCGGGATCTTCACTTAGGATTCTGGATTTGGATATGGATTATGGAAGTTACTTCGAAACCGAAACTACACGTCGCCCATGGGTCCGTTAGCTGCTTTGTCGCCTGTGAGCAGCTGACTGACTTGGGGAGACAAAAGGGACTACCAATAAAGATACCAATAAAGGTATACCAATAGATATACCAATACAGAGGCCATAGACCGTGGTCACTGCAAGACGGTGCACTGCAGGTTCAGTGCACCGTCTTGCATCCGCAAACAACCATTCGGACATGGATACGGTTAGAAACCCGTGTTTAGCGTTATTTTATAGCACTTCATTGGAGCGCTTGCAATCTTGTCGCGTTCCAAACGTGAATTTATTCCTAGAAATTGTCGGCGATCGTAATCCGCAACGCGAATGAATCTCGGAGGTTACCGCGACTGCTGCGATTTGCATTTGCGCGTTTAACGAACAAACCTTTTCAACGAACGCGCCTTCCCAATACAAGCGCTATCTCGAAGTTTAAAAAAAAAATAGTATTTTATGAATAAAAAAAAAGAAAGTAACACGTTTAAGCGAATTCACACATTTACAACCGAGTATCCGGTCCTAAGACGTCGCGCAAGAGGCTTAAAAACCGGTATATCGTCTCTCTCGGTCGTACTCGGTTACAACCCAGCTAAAATTATCATTAAATCCAATTGGAATTCCAATTGGTTTTAACTGGAACCTACTGGTTTTAGTGGGTTCCAACTGGAAGCACACTGGCCAATGGGTCTCACGAATTGAAATTATTTTTCCAGTTGGAACCTGAATGGATTCCAAATGATTTATTGGTTCCCATTGGCAGTGAATTGGTTGTGCAAAAACCATTGGTACCAATAAGAAAATTCCAATGGGATTTTAATGGGAATTTTTAACTGGGAAGTGTGTGAACGAGCCTTTACAACACCCTGTAATGCCGAATTAGAGCGTACCTCTTGAGGAGCTAGGAGGAGGGAAGGGCACTGAGGGGAGGGTATACCCCTCCTCCCTGCTACTCCCCCTCCCCTCTCATCCTGCCCCTCCTCCTCCATCCTCCTCACTCCACTCCTCCTCCTCCCGTCCCCATCTTCCCCCTCCCCACACGTTGCATTATGGAACTTTTCCCATAATGTACTGCACGGTTACGCCGACGGCGACGCCGCTCAAGCCGGGAATGGGCTCATAAGAGCTGCGCTCTAAAAAAATTAATTATACTGCATTCAACAAGCAAACAAACAGATGTTTTAGGGCACAGTAGAAATTTCAAAAAGTGATACTTATTAGTCCTGTCTTAACAATAGTTCAAGAGTTGCATTCCATACACGCGTGTAAATGATTAGTGTGCTAATTGGAACTGGTACATGTGCATGCAAACATTCTGCATTAGGATAATCAATTAAATGTATATTTATGATGAGCTCATGTAACACTTTAATGCTTTAACAGGTGAGTAGCCTGGTGACCAACAACGATGACAGCTTGTCCCCCAGACAAAACCTTGTGAGTGCCTCTTTTTTTTTTTGCAACCATTTAAAGGGAAGTTTGCGAAATTCCAGAGTTTATAAGAGCCTACGAAATTAACAGGAATGGACACACGCTTTAGTCACACTTAATTTATTGTTTGGAGGAGTAGCGTATTACTATATCCTTGCAGGGTTCACACCAGCAACCGCTTGCTGCGGACCTTCCTCAAACGCATCAACCAGGTGCACTGCCCGTGTCGGCCGACGATGGAAGCAAAACCTTTGGGGACGCGCAAGGGAGCTTGTGACACTTTCGAGGCCTGGCTATATACTTCAGCGAGTGAACAGAGTGGATAACTTGGGCAATTCAGAGAGTTTATAAAGCCCTTATTACTTTAGCACTGAACATACGCTTATAAAGCCCCTACGACATTAAGAGGTGTCTTGATAAGTCAAACCTAATTGGAATGTTTTGGGGTATAGTATTGTACCGGTTTCTTGCAGGGTTCACAACAGCTACCGTTTGCTGCGGACCATCCTCAGACGCATCAGCCAGGTGCTCTCTCCCTGTCGGACGACAACAAAGGCAGGGCCTTTGGAGACGTGCAGGTGAGCCTGCGACAATTTTGAGGCGCGGACGTACTTCCGCGAGTGACCACAGTGGATAACTTGGGCAATTCCAAACACTCGAGCATACAGAACCCCTACGACGTTGATATATTTTAAAATACCATTTGCCTTTTGCTTATAAACCTAAATTGCTTAGACCTCGAAGTTAGGGAAAAATTTGGTTCTTCTCTGATTACCGGATAAAAAAATAAAATCCAATTTACGCTTCAACTTGCACTGTCTAAAACGCCAAAACAATGCACATCACATGTACTCAGTGATATTCACAGTGAGGTTATATTCCTACATCTTTTACAGAGATCACATCAAGAATCATCCGAAGGTAGCGAGGAAGAGCCAGATGATGCAGCCGAGTTAGCTGCCCTTGTGATGGCATATACCCTACGTCACAAAGATGGTGATAAAGCTACAGCTGACCTTCTAAGGATGTTGAACATTATTGCCCCTGGCAGAGTACCACAGTGGAAGTGCATGTTGCTGAAGACATTGCATGCCGATGCAGCCGAGGCAGAGAAGCACTTCTATTGTTCAGCCTGCATAGGATACCTAGGGCCTTGTGGCGAGGTCTCACAATGTGAGAATTGTGGAGCTGAACCCGATTCGGAGTACTGCCCATTCTTTTTGGTGCTGCCAATTAAAGAACAGCTGCAGCGGATACTGAACCAGCCAGACCTCAAGCTGAGATCAGAGACACCTCCAACAGGAGATTTCGTATCAGACATATCTGATGGGCAAGAGCATATCAGGCTTTGTAGTGACTTTTCAAGCAATGACTTATCGCTTATCTGGAATACGGATGGCATCAAGGTGTTTGAAAAGTCAATGTACGACATTTGGCCAATTCAGTGTCAAATAATTCAGCTAGATCCAACCGTGCGGAAGGCAAACATGCTAGTGCCAGCTATTTGGTTTGGGTTCAGCAAGCCAAACATGACGACAGTGCTCACACCATTTGTGAAGGAGCTCCAAGAGCTAGCAACAGGATTTCCCTGTGTCAGGGATGGGAAGACAGTGATCACAAGGGTATTTGCTGTTGTATGCTCTGTCGATGCTGTTGCTAGGTCAGCAGTGAAGAACTGTAAACAGTTCAATGGATTCTTTGGCTGTGGGTGGTGCTGCCACCCTGGGGGTCCCCATTACCCCTTCCTGAGCCCTCCACCCCAACGGCGCACGAAGGATGCCCACATGCTTGAGGCAGAGGAGGGAACTCCTGAAGCAGCAGTTAATGGTGTCAAGGGTCCCTCTATTGTCATGACAAAGCCACGATTTAACCCAGTTGACGGGTTCTTTCCAGATTACCAACACTGTGTGTGTCTTGGTGTCATGCGGCAGCTCCTGAAGCTGTGGCTTGACACAGAGCACCATAGCCAGCCATGGTATATTGGAACGAAGTTGGTAGCTATGAATGCCATTCTCTTGGGCATTCTGCCACCCACGGAGGTCACCCGCACTCCCAGAAGATTTGAGGACCGGGCATTCTGAAAGGCTTCTGAGTTCAGGATGTTGTTCTTGTTTTATGGATATGTAGTCTTGAAGCCTGTGCTTCCACCACAGTTTTTCCAACACTTCATGCTGTTGGCATATGGGACGTACCTGCTGCTGAAGCAGCGAGTGTCCACTTCAGACATTTGTGAAGCTCGTGCTCTCCTGTCGAAGTTTGTGCTGCTAATGGGGAAGCTCTATGGCACGGAGCACATGTCCTATAATGTGCACCAGCTCCTCCATCTCGCAGATGCAGTTGTTTCGTGGGGACCCCTGTGGTAAAATTCTTGCTTCCCTTTTGAGGGGAGAAATGCAGTCCTACTCACCTACTTCTCTGGCACACAGTACGTGGGCCAGCAGATTGCCAGGACTTTCCTCCGATGGCAGTAGCTGGCCCCCTGGTTGACGAGCTTAAAGGACCCAGATGCTGCAGAGTTTTTTGAAGAGATGATGGGTCGCAAGACAATGGGACGCACAGGTGCCCAGATTCCCGGCGATGTTATTGTCTGTAGCAGGCAAAGCTCAGGCGCCCAGAATGTGAGGTTTGAGGTGGCGCTTGAGAGGACCTTGAGTGCGCCACCAGAAAACCTGGTTTATTACCATCGCTTCCAATGCAATGGCATTGTATGGAATTCCGAGTCTTACAAAATGCAAAAAAGAGCAAACTGTGGTGCACAACTCAGTGACGGCTCATTTGCCATTGTGCAGGCACTCGCAGTGTTTAAGCAGTCAAGCACCAGATGTGATGCGCAACACCTTGTGCTATTAGAGAAGCTGAAGCTGGTCCCTATGGTTCCTTTTAGGGATAACCAGCTAAGTGTACAGATCCTGTCTGTGCGTGAAGGTGCTCGGTCTGGTGCTGTCTTTGCTTGCACTTTCCAGCAATTGACATCCAAATGCGTCATAATGGGACGCACAGAGAGCACCTTTCTTGTGATACCCCTGCCAAATAAGATAGAGCGTGACTAAGCTAATGCTCAATCGCTCTCAACCCTTTGCCTAAAATGCACTTGCCCTGTCTGTGCTTTTATGCTCGCAATTTTTACAAAGTGGATTGCTCATTGATCATTATGGATCTTTTCTACCGGCTCCTTATGCACATTGCACAGTAGTCCCCTACCTTAGCACTACCGTGCAAGCACCCAAATTTGGCAGAGGAGCGCTATCTTAGGGGCTATCGTTTCAACTGCCCAACACGTCACTGGGCATATGCAACCTCCAGACCAGGAGGAGGGAATGCAGTGGAACCGCTCAAGTGGCTAACCGGTTAACTCGCATGTTTTGGTCATTATCTAATAACATCAAGAAAGATGCAACCAATTTTTATGGCTGTGTGGTCACGACCGACGGGCGACACATTTTGTGCCGTGTAGCCGCGCTGGCTGGCCCTGCTGCGAGAATGACGCATTTCAAAGCTGTATTTTTTTAAACTGATAGCTGGGTTTTCACGTGCATGCTCACCAGCATTGATAGATGGCCAAAACACCCAGCAATCAGTCAGAGACCTGTGCAGCCAATTAGCTTCCCCCACACTGTTCTGGAGATTAAATGGAAAAGCCATGTATTAGTCATTACAGATCTCAGTGCACCAGCACCAAGGCCTCCTGGTTGTTTCTGAAAATGTGTATAAACAATTCTTAATTGTTATTTTTTTGTCTGTTGTTTTCATTGTTATTAAAACATACTTACAATGTCCTTTTTCAATCCAAGCGTCCAACTTTTAGAAATACATTTTATAGGCCAGTGGCGGATCCAAGGGGGGGGGGGGGGTGACGGGGACGGCCACCCTCCCCCCCCCCCCCAAACAAGGTCGACCCGCCTCCCCTCCCCCCTTCTCGGAAGGCAATTTGACATGGGGGGACCCCCCGGTGCACGTGAAAGGGTGGGAGAATAGTACCCTTACGAACTTTCCGCCCCCCCCCCCCCCCCCCTCCGCAACACCAAGTTCTGGATCCGCCCCTGTTATAGGCAATAGTACAAAACAAAATGTTAAATATTGTCCCGTCATCCAAGCCTTCATTGTTTTACTGAGCATACCAGACAGAGCGCCCCTTGCTTTAAGAGAATAAAATGTGTTTTTCTGGAGCAACCATTCATTCCACAAAATTAGTTTCAAAGTTGCAATACTGTGCCTGCAGCATTGAGTGAATGTAGGTCAGATGACGTTTGAATGTGCAGTTGAAGATAGTGTGGATGCGAAACGAGGAGTCCGAGGCCCCACATTCTGTCTCGTAGTGCTATTTCTGAAGTGCTGTCACATATTCATGGAGCATGCCACGCTATGTGAATTCGAACAAAGTTCTGCGAGTTACGAAAGACCTCCTAAAAGCTCTTAGTGCCAGCGCATCAAAGCACTCGTTCACTAAAACATTTCGCTAACAAACTGAATTGTCACTGCCACATCAGGCAGCATACCTCCAAGTACACGACTGCCGACTGGTTCGCGTCCGACGGGCCCGCAATGTGCTGTTGGAGTGCTGTCGGAGGGTGGTGGAATAAGCTGAATCTGCAATTTGTACGATTGGAGCACTGTGCGTGGGTGGACGACGCCTAAATGTTTGGTGAAAACGCCATCAGACGACACTGAACGCCAGATTAGAGCTCCGTCGGAAGGCAATGTAGGAATAACATTTATTGAAATTTCATAGCCACAAATCAAAATAGAACAGGAAGAATATAACTAATATGACACCCTTCTCTAATCCCTATTTTGTAATGATGGAAGACCACGTATGATAGGTCAGCAAACAATAGCACCAGAAAATATGCCAAAACTATACATTACTTGCACGGGACATCAGCCCACCCTCCTTTCTGGTGGTGAAAAGCGCCTTGTTAATGCAGTGGAAGCTACGCTCTCACACGCCCTTCCCCCCATTGTGTTCCTCAAGTCACCTATTTCTGGTGGCAAGATTAGCACAGTGGAGGCTATGCTCTTACGAGCCCTTTCCCCCATTGTGTCTGGCCAAGTGACGTAGGTGCAAGGCATATGTATTGGACGGGGCAAGCCGCTTACATAAAATTGTGCGTGCTGAACATACGATCGGAAACACCTGCATGTCCCTGGACTGTCAAAGCCTGTGCACCAACTATGGCGTTCAGCACATGGCAATAGGACAAGTAACACATTAACTGGGCGAACTGGGAACCCAAATGCAACAAAACACCTTCTGCTTCTGCTTTTAGATTATCTGCCCATAAGAACTGAATAGTTAGGCTACCACAACACCAAGATGACTGCCTAGAATTGAGCCACCGTTCAAAATGAACACGTAGAGGTCATCCAAATTCCTTTCAAGACCTTAATGAGTAGGTATAGCCTCAATTCGCGTTTTAAAACCGGACTTTCCAGGATTGTAAACTAAAAAAAAAAAAAAATATAAAGGCGCAGCACATTCGCGAGTTAAAGAAGAACAAGGAACAGGGCGAACAAATAATTGCACTGTGTTATTCGACCAGTTCGCTTTTGTTGTCAAAGAAAGGAATTCCCTATTGAAAAAGGCCAATATGAACTCGGCTTATTGGAAATATTGTATTCCAATGAAGTTGATGGAAACCAATAAAAACTTATTGTTATCCGATTAACCCAATACGCACGATGGGAATTCATATCGGAGCGCAATATCCCGATATTGTATGCGGTTATTGGTATACAACAGGATATTGGAGCACAATATCCCGATATAACTTGCGGTTATTGGTATACAACACGATATCGAAGCACAATATCCCGACAGAACTTACGGTTATTGGAATAGAATACGACACCGCGTGCATATTGGTGACCGACATGGACATACTGTGCGGCCACACGATATATAAATATCGGTCGTCGATCACGGGCCCAAAGGAGAATACAATATCGCGTGGATAAATCTCAGAACGAATTCCAAGTTACCAACATGAATTACGTCGGCATATACACCTTTCCAAAAAACGCTCCTAGGCCGCCGCCATGTTGCTGATGCTGATGCGGCTGGTGCGACTCTCGCGCCCTCTATCAGCTAGAAGTTTTCTGCCACTCTCTGGGACTGTGAAGACCCGCTCAGCGCGGTTCTCTACATGCATTTTAGCCGTTTCGCATTCGACGTTTTCTCGCTTTCTTGAAAGTTTCCACTTCATTTTTTTTATGCTTGCTGCCTACCCATCTTGTGTTATCTTCCATTGTGAGAAATAAGGCTGGTAAGTGCCTGTCATTCAAGTTTTTCTACTCGACATTCACGGGAAACGAAGCAGGTGAAGGACGTCGAACGACCCTCGACGCGATTTTGCGAACATTGTTCTCCCCCCTCCCAGAGATAATCCGCGTAGAATCCTCAGTCATCTCCAAAAATAGTTGCCCGGGTTGGGGTGAGAAACGGGTCAGTCGCGTTTGTTTCTTTGCCTTGGTGCGGTTGTGAAAAAAAGGAAGCTCTCCCCGAAACGTGCCCCAAACGAAGTCATCTCGGATTTCGTCCGATCGTCAAGATGTGACTGTCGTCGACTGTGACTGTGTTATTTGAGATCTTTCTCAAATAAATTCTTTTTGGATAACGCTGCATCGTGTGGTATGTACGATATATTGTTCTAATGTTACCACTTCCTCAATTGCACGTCCGTGTCCTGTCCATCGGTAAACACGTTATTTGTGAGCGTGAAAAATGCATGCCTTTCGGCCGTCTTCTGTTGCAATTTATTTTTGACAGCAAAGCGCTTTGTCGCTTCACATGCGGCGAATCCCGCGGCGTCGTCAAAACTGATCGTAAGAAAAAACAAATAACTAGAACTATACATTCCAGTCGCACTCGTTCTGTCGCGCGCGTACCCAACAAAAACAGTTTACAGTTTTCTTTGTTTTTTTTAGTGTGGCAGAATGCTTTCTCAATGCCCTCGGCAAAATGCATGTACAATGAAACACAAAATATTGCCGGAAAAAACGAGAATTTAGCCGCCAGCAGCGTTTGAAACTGCGCCTACGCAGGCTGCGCCTATTGAAATCACAGTCCACTCGGTTAGGGTTAGGAGGGACGCCGGTCAGAGTCTAGCCTCAAACTCAGTGACTGGGTTCGAAAACGGTTTGTGGCCCCTGGGGTCGAGTGTTTTTTGGAAAGGTGTATACCGCGGACTAAGAGGAAACGTAACACAGTATTGATCGCCCGTGAAGCAACATGTGGATATCGGTACGCCCACAATACGACATCGCGTGAATGATATTGTAGAACAGCAGGAGTTACCATACGGCAATACGAGAGAGAACGATATTGGAGGTGGATACACACAGAACACAAACGTTCCGCGTTGCAAACACATTCACATTGATCGAAAGCGCAAGTGTACGTACGGCACACAGTACACACAGCCTCGAGCGCTTGAAATGCTAGACAACCACCAAACCATTCAGAGTAACTAGCTGGGACACCCGCGACCTACCTTTCAATGAGAAAGCCCAATAACGACGTGCTCATTGGAGTGATCGTTTTCAAACAAATGTTTATTGCAGTTTTAATGCAACAAAAGTTAGGTTACCGATGTTGGAACCCAAATCGAACGCGATACGTGACAATGTCAGTTCGCACGACAAAATAATGAGGATTAATGGGCTTGACAGGTCACGTGCTTCATACCCGCACATTTATCGATATTGACCCACCTTTCTTGGTAATCCTACGTCGTACACAAAATCCACAACCACACGCGAGCACATTTCACCCACCACTCTTCGTCGCCTGTTTCGCAAGATTCACACACTGTAAAAAACGACGGGAAAAATACGTGCATTTGCGCCACCAAACGATACGTTACAGACTCGTTTTATGAGAAAAGTTTCCATCGTCAACCCGCGCGCGCGAAAGCTCGAGCGCTCGAGCTTCGGAGGCAGTTCGAACTCCGAAGGGAGGCTCTGGCTTGCTCTGGCCCAGCGAGCCGGCGCGCCTGCGCGCATGCGCTGCCAGACAAGCGGCTGAGCGAGCCGCCGAGATTGCGCATTGCGCCGCCATTGCGCAACGACCGCGACCGCGCCAACCCGGCGGAACCGACGGATAACAGCTCGTCAAGTTCGTCGCGCACATTGCTTGTGGGTTCCAAGTGAAACCAACGCACTTTCAATCGCTTCGAAAGGTACGTATAGACGACTTTATTACTTGCAGCATTGAGTGCTTTGGTATACACAGATCAAAGTGAACACTGAAGGACAGAAGGGAGACATGATGTTTTGAAATCGCAGCTTATTTGAACGCATGCGTCCTCTGCTGAAAGCGTCTGGCTGTGCTCTGTTGCAGACGTCATTTCGACTGCGTGTACTCTGATGTAACGTCAGTCAGTGTTTACACTCGGCTAGCTATCACTCGGCTTGTTATCTCATGTGCGAAATAGACGTAGAAACCAGCGCCTCGTCTCTTTCGGATATTCAACCTCCAGCCCCCTGGCTCCCAGCGTGCTTACCGGCGCAAACCGTTCGACGTGTTGGATTCGTGGGCTCGTTCGAAGAGGCGTTGTTTAACGCTCACGAGTCGCCGAAGTGTTACCGGAGCTTCTCTTTACGAAAGTCGCGATCGACGCTGGGCTCTGAGCTCGTACTTGTTTCTTCCCTGGTAGATTAAGAGTGCCGACCATTCATCTGTGGTGCCGACTGGCGCCGTACGAAGTTGAGAAAAGCTAGCGAGTCTGTCAGATTTTCGTGACGCCGCCCAACTGCTCTGCTACCGGCTGCGCTGAACAAATAAAGTAAAAAAAAAAAAACAAAACAAAAAAAAAAACGTGTTTTTTTATTTTCAAATTTTTTTT